AGTGGCTCCCCAGGGGCCGGGCTGAGGGTTGGTCTCCCCGGTTCTCTCTGCTGGGATGAGTAATATGGACCAGGGCAGAGGGTCTATATCAATCTAGCTCAGCAGAAAAATGAATGAAAATTGGATTCCCCAAGGAGAATCGGGGAGCTGTTATCCAGACAGAGATAAATCAAAGGATGCCACAGAGAAGGGGGAGAGCAGGTTTCCAACAGCAGGGGAATAATTAAGGAAACAGTTTCAAAATGCAAATGATGAAAGAGGGTTGGAGAGGCAGGAGGACAAGGAGGCGGTGATTGGAGATGGGCTGATGGGGAACAGGAGTGGTAAGTGGAGAAAGAGGCTGGGGTTCAGGATTCCTGGCATCTGAGGGTGAACTCGCCCACTCTGGGAGGCTCCTAAAATGTAAGGGTTAGAAGACATGCAAGTCTGCTGTGTAGAGTGGAAAGAGGACCAGATTGGGAGTCAAAGGCTGGATTTAATCTCCTGTTGGCTCTGCAACTTATTAGCAGCGTGACCTTAGGCAAACCACTTAACCTCTCTGTTAGGTATGATAATCATACCTAAGCCCAGCGTGATTGAAGATCAAATGAGATAAAATATGTAGAGGAACTCTGTAAATTGTAAAGTGCTAGACAAATGCAAGCTATAATCATTTCCCTACATTGGGTTTCTAGGGATTCTTCCTTCAGCATTGGATCCACTGACATGTTGAGTTTGGTTCCCAGAAATGTAATGTGTAGATGTCCAGAAAGCACCAGAAACTCGTATTGATCAACTGCCCTGAGAGAACTCAGACCTGGGGAAAGCCACATCACCACTGACCCATCCTCTGGTGCCCACCCTCCGAGTGAGTTGTAGCCGAAAGCCACAGGTCCACCCTAAAGACTATCGCTCCTGGTGGGTCACCTGCCAGCCCTGGGTGGCTTTCACCGAGAAGACCCCTGCTCTGTCAGCTCAGAGGTTTAGGTCCACACAGATCCACCAGAGAGTACTTCCTGTGGGGTTCAGCCATTCCCTCGCGTTCTCTGGGGGTAGAGACTACCTTAGCCCCTGTTAGCCTCAGCTTTTTCATCCTCCAGATAGGTATGACAATACCATTTATTGAATTGTTATAAGGAAAAAGATGGATTATGTAGGTAGAAGCACTTACCTGGGTGCCTGGCACAGTTTCAAACTGTCAATAAATATTGGTGGCTCTTATTACCATGGTATGCTATTATATTGTTCCTGTTGCTATCAGCAGCCATAGGCACTAGAAAATCTACTTAAGGAAAGCTTTTCATGGGGGTTTCCTCATTTACAGATGGGGAAGTGGAAGCCCCAGGAAGGAAGTGAATGCCTCGGCAGATGTATGCTGTTAATGGAAGATGCTGAGAATGGAACCCAGCTCATACTTCTAGAAAAGTCTTGGAACGTGGAAAGGGCATTTATTGGCTGAGCTGCAGTGGGGGTATGAGTGAGGATGCACTGGGGTGCAGGGGAGCTGCTGCCCACAAGTTGAAGAACTGAGAAACCAGTGCACATCCCAGGGCTCTTGTGCCATTGGATAAAGGTAAGAATGGCATCTGCTGAGTCAGCACTGGGTGGTGGGCACAGGAGAGTCCCCCACAGTCATGCTGCCCCTCACCCAGTGACAGGCTAGTGACGGGCAGTGAAAAGAGGGCAGGACACAGGCAGGTTCATACCAGACGAGCAGGAACTGCAGAAAGCATTTTAAAAATATAATTTTTAATTATAAAAGTCACTACCACATCTGCTTGACATTTCACTGCATATATTTTATCTTTTACTAATATTACTGGAAAAAAATGTAACCGGTTTACAGAAAATCTGGAAAAGAGAAAAAAGAAAAAAATTCTGTAATATATCTCCCTAATATACTTTTCTCCCAATAGGTTTTTGAATAGCATTTTGATATACTTTCTTTCAGTGTTTTCTCAATGTTTTCAAAAGCAATTTTATTAGTTTTCTCTGCTTTATAAGATAATTCAGGAAACTTAAAAAAAGGAAAACTAAGAAAATAAAAGTATCCACTGTACAGGTAACCACTTTCATATTTTAACATATATTTTCTATCTATCCTGCTTAAAAAAACCTTACAGTTCATACTGCTTCATATTCACCCTAATAAACCTCACTATTCTACATTATTAAATATTTTTTCTGTTGCATTTTCTAACAACAATATAACATACATTTTATTTACTCAAATTAGAGTAAAATTAACTTAATAATCCCCTATTGCTGGATATGTAGTTTATTCTCTTTTAAAAATGTTATATACATCCTTGTAACTACATCTTTATAAATTTTCCTGATTATTTTCTGTGACTAAATTTCTATATGGATTGGGTCACATTTTTAGGCTATAAAATATATTGCCAAAGTGCCCTCAGAAGACATTGTTCCTTGTTGCATCCCCACCACCAGAAAATTGTTTTGATTTCTCCACACCCTAGCCAACAATAGGTATTAACACTGCTTTCATCTTTGACTAACATTTTGGAAAACTTAGAATCATATAATATTGTATCATGCTTTTTAAAATTTTAGTGTTTCACAAGCATTCCCATGTTGCTAGATTTCATAATTAGTTTCAATAATCGTATAACATATTACCAAGCAAATTTATTCTACTTTACCAAAACCACTTTTCTTTTGTGGGATAGCAGAGGTTTTTGGTTTTGTTTTTGTTTTCCTCCAAACCATAATGCTGTAATAAGCATCTTCATGTTTGAAATATTATTTTCACATTTTGTATTATTTCTGTGGAACACACACTCAAAAGTGGAATTATATGAGCTAAATTATATGAGCTAAAGGATCTGAAAAAATTATGGGATTTGATACATATTGCCAAATTGCTTTCCTAACGGATTTAAGAGTTTATTAGCACACCAGCAGTACTGAGAGTACCAGTTTCAAAGTACCTTCACCAGCACCAAATTCTAGGATTCCCTCCCTGGTCGTTTAACACACAAAACAGAAGTCTGTACTATGATGTATTGCTTTGCATGTCTTTGCTAATGAAGGTGGCATTTTCTCGTATTTGTTTACTAGTTACATTTTTGTAAAACAAAAACAAAAACATTTTGGTAAACACCGAAAATGTCACCGGGTTTCTTGCGTATTGGAGTCACCTCGCAGGTCAACAGGGCAAGAAATGATGCCAACCCAGTACCAGGACACATAGAAGTCACTGTGTGACTTCATCAAAGACAAATTCTAAGCGTAGACGACCATGCCTTCCTCCCCATCTTCATATTCGTCCCTGGTGTCCCTTGTTTAGGGACAACGCCAGGAGAAAAACCAGGGGACGCTCTGTAAGGTTGGAGAGGGGGGCACACCGTCCCGTTCCCCACCCAAGCTGGACTTGACTAGGCTGGGAGGGCACATCTGTTTACATCTCTGGAATGAATTCAGGATGGGGGCGTCGCGAGGGTGGAATCCGTAGAGCCTCTGGGTCCTGTGGCAGGGGAGGTGGGCTTCCCGCGCCTGCAGCCAAGTGGCGTCGAGCAAGCTGATGAAGCCTTAGAGACCCTTGGCGGCGACGTGCCCCAGAGGTGGGCCTTCTGTTTTATTTCCGCCAGGAACTGGCGTTGAGAATTTAAGGGTGCGTGTGTGCCTTGTAAATACAATAAGCACACATGCCCCTTCTCTCTAACCCGGTTAGCCCGGGTGTCCGTGTGCGCGCTGCCGCCCTGCACGCACGAGGTTCCGGAATTGTTCAAAGCGCCCGCGGTTGCAGCAGGCGAGGCAGAGCGCTCCCTGGGGACCGAGGACAGGACCCAGCTGAGCCGCCGTGGGCAGAGCGGCGCCGGCAGCCAAAAGGCGCGGGGACCCGACGGGGCCAAGGAGGAGGGAAGCGCGGAGTACCCGCGGCAGGCCGCGGCGAGCGGGGGCGCGCATCGGGAGTCCAAGCCCGGCCACCTCCGCGCGCAGCCCCCGGCCGCCTTCCCCCGCCCGCCCGCCGCTGCCCGCGGCGTGACTCGAGCCTTCCTGGCCGAGTACTGGCTGTCCCTGGCCTAGCCTCAGCCAGACGCGGGGGAGAGAGAGCAAGGGCTGAGAAGCGCCGGCGGGAAAGGAATTGGCCGTAGGAGACGAGGAGGAGGAGGAGGAGTTGGAGGATGGAGGATGGAGTCCCGGGCGGAGAGAAACCGGGGGCCGAGAGCGCGCGAGCGGAAGACTCTGCCGTGCGGCCCGGGTCTTCGGAGGGTCTGCCACGCCCTTCCCCATCCTTTGGCCCGAATGGAGGGGTAGTGGGGACACGAGCCGCCGGCCGGGTCCGAAACCCCCGCAAGACCCACGGAAACCCGCAAGCCCGGGGCTCCGCCGTCCAGGAGCACCTGCTGCAGCGGTCGATCCCGCCGCAGTATTTATACCCGGGGCGCGAGCCCGCACGGCGGGGCGCAGGGACTGAGGGGGGAGGTTGCGGGGGGAACGGCGTCCCGCGAGGCCCCGCCCCGTTCGGTGCGGCCCCGCCCCCCTGCGCGACCCTCCACACTCGGGGCGCCGGGACCCCCCACTCCGGCCGGGGTCCGCGGCCCGCTGCCGGGTGTGGGGATTGGCTGAAGGGCGGGCCTCCCTGCGGAAAGCGACGTCACGGCCGTTCCTGCAGTGTGAATGAATCAAAATGCCTGGGTGACCGCGGCCTCCCCGGCGGCCGGCACGCGAAGGGTGGAGGGGGAGGGGGAGAGAAGCGGGCGGGGGAAGGAGGAGGGGAAAAAAGCCAGAGCTGCAGCAACAGCGTCTCCTCAACCCGGGATGTGCACCTACCCGGGAGAGCGAGATCAAAGGGATTTGAAACAGACTGAGGGCTGGCGGGGGGAGGGGGCCAGCCAGCCTGTGGAATCCTCCCGGAGAGGCGGAGGGTCCGGCTTCCACCGTGACTTCGGCGGCCTAGTTGGGGTTTTTATTATTATTTTCAAATTTCTGAATCCAGCTTAAGCGAGAGAGCAAGAGATCTCCGTAGACTGCGACTCCCCGGCTCTCGCTCCAAGATGATGCAGAGCGCAGCTGTCCCCGCGGAGGGGGCTGTCAAGGGGCTCCCGGAGATGCTTGGTGTGCCGATGCAACGTAAGACACCCCCCTTTCTCGCTGATTTAATTTGATAACAAGACAGCCAGCAGCCTTGGCCGGTACGGGGCGGGTCGGACGCTGCGTGTAGCCTGGACCGGAGGGGCCGGGCGGGGCGAGGGGCCGCCAGCCCCGGCGCAGAGGCGGTCACAGGGCAGGGGCACCGGCCAGAGTGCATTTAAAGGGCCTGGCTCTTGGCTTTGGGGGCCGAAAGTGAAAGGCTCCCGAGCGTGCTAGGGGCCAGCGGAGGGTACCGAACCCCGCATCTCCAGCCCATGGCTTTTCTCGGAGCGTTGGCAGAGTGCTGTTTGGGGACACCAGGGGACCGAACTGCAGGCCAGGCCTGAGGGCTGGGGTGGTCCCCGTAAAGCACCCTCCCTCCTGGGGTTCCGGTCGAAGCTCGAAGTACCGCTAGTGCAACTTCACCCCAGCTGGCGGGAAGTTGGAGAGCGCGTCCCCCGCCCCCGGGGCTGGCGGCGCGGAAGCCCAGGCCACACGCTCTGTCCCCGCGCGCAGGGCGTGCGCGCCCGGTGCGTCCTCAGCCGCTGCTGCCCGCGGCGCCCGCAGCCTGCGCCGCCGGCGACTGCCTGCTTCTAGTGAGGAAGTCAACTCGCCATGTTCCAGCTAGCCGAGGAATGCAGGGGAGGGGGAAGCGCCGGCACGAAGTTGTGAACTCGGGGTACAGCCTTTGCGCTGGCGAGGACATACTTTCCGGACGGCTTGGACTCGGCAGGGGAGACACATAGGGGGCCCCTAAGGTATCTGGGCGCTTTGCTCGCCCACCCACTTTCTTTCCCGCGCCCGATATTAGCAAGACTGCGGGAGCTCGAGGCGTGTTTATCCCCAGGTCTCTGTGTGTGTTTGGGTGTGCGCGCTCAGGCATTTTCCCGGAGGGAGCCTGTCTCTGTCCCGCACTCCCCAACGGAGTCTTCGATGGAGAATCTGTGCGGAGGCCGGAGCAGGTCCCGAGGCATCGCGCGCGCACGTCGGGTGCCTAGTGAGTCCTGCCGTACAGGCTCGCGGACTCTGCGCGACACCCCTGCGCACCGTGGAGAGGGAACGGTTCCCTCACTCCGCTTGCCAAGGGACTGTGCTTCCGTCCGCGATTTCTTTAGTGGAGCGGTAGCTACGTCCTCGAGGTTTATTTTAAGTAAATAAAATAATGGTGTCTACTTACGAACTCGGAGGGCGCGCGGCTGCGCCCTCCTGCGCCCTCCTGCGCCCTGGCTCTCCGCCGCAGGGATTCTGCCTGGGCCATACCTCAAAGGGCAGGCTGGCGATCGTGTGTGTCCTGGGCTTCCCTGGGAAGTTTTTGAGAAGGAACTGGAAGAGGATGGCTTCCCCCAAACCTATGTAGGTTGTTCTCTGACTGTATCCTGCAGTTATCCTTTGTGTCTTTTCCTGTCAACTGTTGGCAAACGGTTCCACGTCTGCGTCGCGCGTTGGGAAGTTGCCTGTTGACCTAGATGTGTCTGTAGAAGGCTTTCGGGGTCCGCTGCTGCCCTCACTGCTCCCACCCCACCGCGGGCAAGGAGGGAGTGGGTTCTCAGCCCCTGCAGAAACGGAAACACAGACGGACTGTAGCTCTGCGTGAGTGAGGGGAGCGTGTGAATGGGCGGAAGGCGTGTGTGTGGCTCGTGGCCTTGTCGCCCAGTACGTCTGTGCTTTAATAGTTGTGGTCCGTAGGTGGCCTGTCAGGACGCACCGAGGGCCGCGTGCTCTGCTCTGACATCCTTTCCTGGGGCGCTCAGCACACTTCGATGTCTCACTTTTTGTTTCTCTTACTCAGAGACAACCTTGATTTCGACGTCAGGAACTCGATTTCCTAAAATGCCTAAAACTTGCCTTCAGAGCTACAGTTCACCAGGGCTCCAGTCTGGGTTCCAACTGTGGAGAACTCAGTGAAGCAGAGAGTGGGACTCTCATCCCAGGGCTGCCCAGCAGAGGCAATGCCGAACCAGGAGGGGCTGGTCTGCCTTTCCTTTTGTCTTGCCCTGGTTCTGGGGCCTGTTGAAGGAAGCAGTGGCCAAAACTGAGGGGCCCAATCCCTGAAGACTTGCAGTCCAGCTTTTTTTTTTTTTTTTTGGCGGGGGGCATGCATGGAACATACTCATCCCCTTCCAGCAGATGTGACTGTTGGTGCAGAGAACTGGGCATAGGTGGGGTGTGGTCCCCTCACACACATAAACACCACCATTCTCTTTTCTGGAACAGGTGGCCCACTGGCCTAACAACTCTCTGGGGGGTGTGGGGGGGGACATGCCCTTAGACCTCAGGGAGGAAAAAGGGTCTTCCCAGGCCTGTGGGTGTTTAAACCTAGGGAGAGGGGAGAAAAAAGAAAACCCCTCTGGCAATGGTTCTTCCCACCCTATAAAAGGGAAGGGTGGGGGTCCCCCCCCCCCCGCCAGGGGCACACACACAGGCATATTTGGTTTCTTTACCTTGAGCTGCACAGATGTAGGGATACCCCAACCTGGGTCTCTCTGGTGCCCTGGCCTCATAGGGGCATTTTAGGAGTTTGAATCCAGTTTGTTTGGGAGGCAGAATATTTTTTTGAGGGTGGGTGAGGTGCATTCCCTTAAGGAAAACGTTAACCAAGTAGTGTAATAATTTCTCTCTTGGCGAGCTTATTCCTGGCTCTCTGCACCACCACCGCCACCCCCCCCCCCCCCCCCCCCCCCCCACTGCTCGCTCCTGGGCGGACTTGTCAGCATGGTCACCCTCCTCCTGCTTCCCCGCACAGACATTGCAGGGCTGATGAGAGCCTCGCGGCTTCGACAGCTCTGCGACGGCCTGATGGGGCCCACGCTTGGCTCAGACTTCTCCAGACAAGCTTGAGGATCCTCACCTGTTTGAGGGGCATCAGCCTGGGGCAAGAAGCTTGGGAGGAATCGGTGGGAGGAGTCTGGGAGTGATCCCCAAGAGAACCCTGGAGTAGGGAGGTAGAGCCCCACCCCCTTTTAAATCTCTGCCGGGTTCCCGGCAGCCCGGTTCCTGTCTTTGGTCAGTGTGTTCTAAGGAACTCAAAACCCCCGGCTCCTTGCTCTGGGTGACAGGAGCACTGTTTATGTGAGGCTGCACCTTGAGGTTCACGTCCAGCATGAGTGGAGGTCCTGTCCAGCGTGGGCCCAGGGCCTTGGGTAGTTTTTTTTCTGGCTAGGTGGATAGGTTCAGAAAGGGACCTTGTCCTAAGCTGGCGGGTCCCAGCTACTTGGCCCACAATTAGGATTGCGGTTCTCTCTCATTATGGGTAGAGCCTGCTTCTGCTCAGGTCTTCCCGCCACCTCCCTCGGGGCTGTAGAAATGCCAGGTCCGAATTCTCACAGTTCCGACCCCGGGGTTGGGGGGGGGGGTGGCAGTGTTGGATTCCATGATCGCCTCCTGATCCTCCTCTGAACCTGTCTCCTCCCTGAACTCATCGGTTTCCCCACGCATCTCCGCCCGCTGGCCCCTCTTGCCTGCCAAGACGACTCGGAACAGTGAGGGACATAACAGGGAGGTGGACGTTTTATTGCCCCTTGCCCTCGGTTTTGGCCTATCTCCCACGTAGTTTCCCCGGGCACCAAGGGAAAGGACAATGGCCCCCGACGGCCTCCGGGTTGCTGGCTGGAGAGCTGGCCAACCCTGGTGGGAGAAAGGAGCGACCCGCTGGGTCCAGGCAGGGAGTGATAAACGGGGAACATGTCCAGGGCATCTCCCATCCCACCCTTATCTCCTAAAATATCTACTTCTTGCAGCTCTTGCAAACCCCGAAGTTGTGAGTAAAGGGTATTTGATTGTGTATGTGGTAGGATCTGGGTGAAGAACTTCTCTAGGACGCCCCACTACCTTTTCTCCTCTTCTGGGGCACCTGCGGATGCGTCGGGTAAATCTTCTAGCATGGATTCCATTCGAGTCCTCACTCCCGACATTATCATCCTTCTTGCAGACTATTTCTTAAGGGGTGGAAAGGGACTCATTTCCAGGGCCAGGAGGTCTCTCAAACTCTGGAGCAGCGATTCGAGCTTCTTTCCATTCCTGCCTTTTCTGATGGTGCTGGAAAGAAAAACAAGGAAAAACTTTATTGTATGATATATACCTCCATATATTATATATACGGAGAGACAGAGAGATGTTGATTGATTCAGATTCCGATACAGAAATTCAGACAGCAGCCCCGGGCACCACAAATCTCCTTCCCCGCGTCACAAAAATATTGTCAGGAGCGAGCCAACTTTTAAAGGTCAGACTGGTGCCTGTCCCCGCCGGCAGATTCAGGCCTCGCGAACTGGGGATTCCGATTCCCTAACCTGGAGGATCCCACCCCAGCCTCGGGCCAGAGCTTCGCTCCACCCGGAGGGGAATTTGGAGAAAGCCGGGTGATCACAACAGCACCTCGTTGCGGAGCCGGGTGGCCGAGGGTGCCCGAGGAGCGAGCGGGCTCCGACCTCCCCGGTTCCACTGTCTGGATCAAAGAGGGCGGCGAGGGTGGAGGGGAGCCCTCCTTGGCCGGGCGCGGCCCCAGTGCGCTCAAGGAGCGGCATTAAAGGTTTAACCCGGACGGGGAGCGGACAGGCGGGGAGGGTGAGGGGCGAAGGTCTGCCCGGAGAGGTCCTCAGTGATCGGGAAAGATGGAAAGTCGGGACTGAGATGAGGAAGCAGGACCCTACTCGAATTGTTTCTTCGCTTGGCCGCCGTGCGGGCACGTGGAAAACCAGGGCCAGGCGGGGCTGGGCGGGAGCGACGGCCTTGGGTCCGGGAGTGGGACCGGCGTGTCCCCCGCGCGCCGCGGGCAGAGCTCCTCCGCCCGGCGGGTAGGCGCTGGTCTGGGTGGCCCAGCGAGCTGAATTCGTTCAACAGGGTTTTGCAACGCACCTGCGGGGGCTGTGCGCTGGCTCGACGCGTGCCCTGGGTGTTGAGGGCTTGCCAATGGGAGCAAGTGCGCACAGGACGGCCCATCTGGGAGAGCCGGCTTTGCGCACCCCGCGTCCCGCAGCCCGAGGTAGAGGTCGTGCCTGCGA